TGTGTGAAAATCTCCCTGCAGTGACCAGCCATTCCCAGCTGTAGAAAAGAAGAGAAAGGCAGAGAGGGGGGCGGCAGGGAGGAACCAATAAAACCAACCTCGTCCAGTGGGAGTCCCAGATCAGACAGAGGTTTTGTCACTCAGAACGGGTGCTCTGCTCACTGCCACGTATGCCTGGAAGAGACAGCCCTGCTTCACAGTACTAATGGGGGTGTGCATGTATGTGGCACCTGGGGCTTTCTGCTCCATGGTAGCAGAGGAATCGGGTCCCACTTTGGGAGCCTTGGTCATTGTGACCAAGGAGGCTAAAACACCCTGGAAGCTCACTCCCGGGCAGGGAACACCTGCAGGCTTCATGGTGGGCTCAGTCCCAGCTCTGGCTGGTACCACCAATATTTCCATACTGGTGCTGCAGGGAGCAGGGGTGGGGGTGCGTGTGTATTATCTGCGACCAGGGTATTGCAGGAGCATCACCCAAGGCCATGACTCCTCTGAATGAGACCCTGATCCAGAGCATGGCCAGCACCCCCAGCCAGGAAGCACAGCACCACTGCAAGTCCCACGGGCGTGGGAAGAATCTGAGCAAACCACACCACCACCGACACAGAGGGACTGCTGGCTGACACTTTGTCAGGTTGCTCTCCATCACTGCTGCTGACAGGGGACCAGCTGTCAGCCCTCGGCATGACGGCAATGTGAACCCAGCCAGTACATTCGCTGCCTTCTTTCCTCACCACCTTCCCCCGTTGTTAACTTCCTAATGACACCCAAATTCAAAGCAAATCTCAGCACACACAGTAAAATCCTTCCCTTACGGACAAGTTTGCTTTTTAGAGGCTCTCCTTGCTGAGATCGGCTATTGTGCAGCAGGGTGGAATAGCCAGGTGGGCTCTGAAATGAAGGACGTGTCTCCTCACACTCAGATGGGGCTAAACAGAGGCATGGGGGGAGGCCGGGCACTGGCCGGAGGTGTCCTGCAGTGAGTGACCCTCAGTGTGACATTGATGGCTCTTAATTCTTAAGCCTGCTTTGGAAGGATTTCAGCAGATCCTGTTTAATCACTGTAGCCTCTTCATCTCCCCTGTCTTGGCTCAGGGTAACGTTACATGTTTTCATGTTTTCCTCCAGTGGCTCTCTCCACAAACTGTTCACCCTCCTCTTCCTCCATGGGTCCCCAGCGCAGGAAATGCCACCAGGCCCTTCGCCTGCTGCACAGCACAGGGTTGCCGAAGCCATAGCTGCCCTCAGCTTGTTTACCAATGCACAGCTCAAATAGCATTTGCTTAATTTCCCCCCATCTGCAGGACTCCTCCATCTCTCGCTAACGAAGGGCACAGCTTCCTGCAGGTACGCTACCAACTCCCCGCAATTGGGCTGTGCCATGCATAACATTAAATATTTAAGCGCTTGTCAAAATGTTGTAACGATTTTTTTGTCTTGTTCCATTAGCTCCTTTTCCAAAGGCCACCACTGGAACTACTGAACATTTATTTCTATTGAATCCAGCTTAGAAGTTATGATCTGAGAAACCAGGAGACAGGACAATATGTTCTGTGGCGCCTGCTTTTCCCCACCACCGCTCAGCTGAGACACATCGGCCTTTGAAATATCATTTTTATTCCTACCTTAGAAAAACTAAAATAAAGAGGTTGATTCTTCCGCCTGCTTGATTTGCTTCTACTGGCTAAATAAGGTACATAAATATCAGTCAGGCGGCTTCCCCATGTAAGTTTTGGTGCCATCAGTTTAAACACCTTGCACAGTTTTCGGTACTGGCCATGTGAGCTGGATTTCCTCCCCAGTTGCAAAATAAAGTATTGTTATTACATGATTTTCCTGTTGCTGGAGAGGTATGCACATGAATCTTCCTCCCTCAGTCTCTGTACATGAGCAGCATCTTATTATGCTAATACTATGAGTATTAGACAAAAAGCACTGAAGAAAGCCAATGGAGACAGCAGTTTGGACTGGGGGCAAAGCTTGGGCAGGGGGTGCTCTTGCAAGGGGCTATGGCCCCCAGGTTGGGTGTAGGTTCACCGTACCACCAAGTGCAGAGTCAGAGGGAGTGGGGTGGGGGTCACCTGCAGTCCCCAGGGACACTGAGATGTCCAACACACCAGCCCTTGGCCACAGGACCCTCCACCGGGGCCACTGCAGGGCTCAGTTCCCCCCAGGCAAATGCCAAATTTGCACGAGGGAGCTGGGCTTGCTGCAGGCCAGGGAATGGGACTGCTAGTGGGGAAAAAAAAAAAAAAAAAAAAAAAAAAGAAAAAAGGAAACCCTAAAGCATTCTTAGACTTTCTTGCATATTAATTCCTCTCTATTTAAAAACATGTGAGAGCCTGAGTTCCAGCCCTGCTGCCTGTGCCTGGATGCTTCACAAAGTTGTAATCCCCACTAGTGACATCACAAGCCGTTGCCATGGGGATGTCACAAACCCAGAGCTGTGACTTCACTACGGCGGGGATGGGCAGCAAGGGAGGCAGTGCTTCCCAACCACCAGTGTCTCCAGTAATTAGCAAACTGGCACAGAAAAAGAGGATGAAACACAGGATAGGAACATAAACCCATTTTGTAAGTATGATCTATTGGAAAGTATTCCCTCATGAGAAAGCGCCTCCTTAATGGATCCTGTGCTCTTAAGAAAACCGCAAAAGGCAGAGAATAAAACAGAAATTATAGTGATTTGCTTTATTGGGCATTTCATTGAGTAATTAAGAGGATAATTAGGAGAAGGAATATTAAAAGGCGTTACACTCAGCCCTTGCCTTACTCTAGAGGAGCAAGCTATTGAATGTGCAGCATCATTCAATGTTTTCCTGTGCTAACACAGAGTTCCCTGGGGTGAGGGAGGCATGCATGGATGTGCCGCAGCACGAGGGGTCATATACAGGATGGGAAGGGGTGAAAAGGCATCTCCCCCCGTGGGCTAGCAGGATGCTGGTGCTCTCCCAAGAAATGCAGGTTGCAGGGATCAAACCCCACCTTCACAGCATCTCTTGGCAAGTGGTGTCAGGCTCTGACACTTGTGCATGGCGCGTTCCAGTGCAGGGGAGGCTAAAGAGAAAAACATAAACCAGCCCTGGCTGCAGAGGAGCTCTGGCGAGAGCTCACCATGCTGAAACATGTGCTGATGAAGCACCACAGCTGAGGCAGAAGCGGCAGAAGTCTCAAAAACCAGCTGAAAACTCAGTAAAATGGTTACCCTGCATGAGGAGAGGAGCTCTGTCACCTAACCCCCTTCTAACACCTATCCCCCCCATTTTGCCTCCTCGTCTTTTTCTTTGGAAAATATGTATCCGAGTACCTGCATAACCCAGACATGACTCAACAGCACTTCAAGAGCCCTCAGTGGTCACAACTTGATCTAAGCTGCTTCTCGAAGATACCCAGCATTTCCCAGATGAGGAAACCTGGGTGCTGGTCAATACATCCATGAAACAAAGACCTACTCAAGCAATGAAATATGCAGCTCCTTTGAGACCCCCAGCACATCTCGCTATCCCATTTACCCACCAGTATGGCCACACTCCAACACAATGTCAGGACACCAGGTCCTACCATGGGTTTCCTTGGCACCACGCATTACACGCTGGGGACCCCAGTGCTCACACACAGCCATTTCCTAAGAAGCCCTGGATGAAAGTCAGCCCCAGTGAGAGCAATCTGTCCACTGCAAGTCCCAAATGGTCACTGCAGGGAGCAAACACAGGCACAGTGATGAGGAAATGCAAACTGGAGTGACAGACACCATGAAAAGAAAGGGCTTTACTGGAAGCGATGAGTCCCACTGGACATGCATTTATAAACTCTAAGATGCAGATAGGCTAATTCATGTTGCTGCATGAAACCACTTGCTCAGGAGACAAAGCAAGCAACTAACCAACCCAGATAAATGAGAAACCCCAACCTACAACATGGCAGTGCTGAGCAGTTGCCAAAAATTAAGTAATGCGTGGGTCCTTGCTCGCTCCAGGACCACATATTTCGGAAAGCACATAATCTTTCACGCAGGAGAAGGCTGGCCTTTTTTAAACTGGCCTCGGCGGCTGCAAATCCCTTTTTTCTCCCTAGGGAGATGGATGTGATGGCTATAATCCGGTTGCCATGCTGGACCAGTGTTTCAGGGACAGTGGCTTGTCAGGGTTGAACCTAGTGTCAGACAACTGTCAGAAAATCCACGCTCTGAAAGTCACCAGCCCTCCCTTTCCCTGTCCTAGGAATCGCTGCTCCTCTGTCCTCCCCTGCTTAGGGGGAACAAGCCTCATCCTCTCCAAAGCAAAGTAAAACTGGCTTTTTTTCTTGTTGCTGGCCCTTACAGGCAGGAGAGCAGCCTGCTGTGAGACTCGAGTGCTCGGCACAGCCCTAAAACAAGGCTCCTGTTTGAAGTGCGTGGATTGAGGCTGGATTAAGAAAGCCCAGGAGGAGTGTCTAGCTCTGCTCCTACACCAGAAAGGCTGCTCAGCAGCAGCCATCGCAGATTCAGTCTGCTCAGCCCTTCGTGCAATCCCCAAGAAGCTGCTACAGTGCTGGGGAAGCAGCAATTTCATATGCGGTGTTCGACTTGACCCGGGAAAGGGGTAATTGCAGAGCATGTGCTCCGCTTCCCAATGCTGCTGCAGGGAGGAGAGCAGAGCTGCTCCGCTCCTGGCTGCGGGAGCGCCCAGCGCTGCCCTAACCCTTTATCATCGAGAGGAGATGGACAATTAACTTCCACAGGGGCAGATTAAGACCAACAGCAAACGCACGACAAAAATGACACCGTTAACCACCTCTGCCCAGTCAGGCAGAGCAGATAGAGCTGCAGAGCCCAGAGCTGCTTGGGTGCAGAGCCGGTCTCAGGCAGACAACTTAGCTGTGTCTCAAGACAAGTTCAAGAGAATCACTTCTGAAGTTTCCTTCTTGCAAACACTTTATTTTCCCCCTCTAGTCAGTGCAATAAGTAGTTTTAGTGCAATGCAAGCAGAGAACAGAGGATAAAACAATAGACCAGCCCATACCTGAAGGCGCATCCTTCCTTTCTCACCAAGCAGCAGGGAGGACGCGGCTGTGTCTCGGTAATTTTCCAACATCCTGTGTTGCAGGTAGATTTATGCACTGATCATAGTTGGAGCTGTTAATAAAAAAGTGCAAAAAAAAAAAAAAACCCAAACTGATTTTACTGTGAAGTATAGGGCTGCTTTTCTTCCAGCTTTGTATTATCCTGATTTTCTCTTTTTTTTTTTTTTTTTTTCCCCTCTATGATCGACCATGTTTGGGGTTCAAAGCTTTAAAAATAAATCGTGGATCTTCTTTCATCTACTATGCGCGAGAGAGTCAGAATCATTACATGGCTTAAATAGATATTTTGGGAGGGACCCCAGACCAAGCCGTTCCTACTTTAACTGGGAGCCAGAGGGATGAAGCTAATTTGCAAATAATGTTACATGCGGGTTTTACTTGAACTCAAGGGAAAAAGCTGCAGTGGCTACTTGTCATTCTTCATGAGATATTGAACAAAATGGAAATAGACTTCACTATTAAAAATTATATATATACACACACATATATATATTGAAAACAATCTGCAGCAGACCAATTTCTGCCACACCAGGGGAACATCCCAGGCCGCAATGAAGCCATGCCTCAGCACATACTGCTACTGCCGCCTGGGCACTGGGGACAAATAGACTGGCTGTCCTTTTCCCGAGAGTAGATTTTTAACTCAGAGAGCTGCAAGCACTTCCCCAGCTCGACTTGAGCCGCTTCTTCCTTACGCGGTTCAAAAGACAACTTTCCCCTTCAGCATCGCAAATGCCTTCCCCGGGGAGTGGGGAGCCCTGATATCTGCAGCACTACATCTTTACAGTGAATTGCTTATCGATGACTTCGTGGCTAATATATACAATGAGAGGCAGAGGAGCTAATATAATCTAATTTTCCATGTTTACTGCATTATTACAGTGGTTGAATTTGCTGATTAGTTCCTATTTTTCTTGCCATCTCTTCCTGAGCATCTCTTATTTTTGCCCTGCTTATCTGCATACCAAGTCATTTATCCATACAGCTGGTGTAACAGCAAGCAAGGCCAAAGCTATCATTTCTCCTCCCTTTCAAATTTAATCTTGCAGACCTCAATCTTTGTGATACCACTATTATTTTGTCTGTATCTGATCTAACAGGAACCAGCCATTATTTTTGCCTTTAAAAAAAAAAAGAAAAATGGAAAAAACTAATCCAAGCAAAAGAGAATGATGGCTGTGGCACTAATGATCCTTGGCATATCTCCTTGCAATGAATCCGGTGCTAAAACAGAGACCGTTTGTTTCCCTTCTCTCTACATAACTGCAAGACTGACCCCTCATGCACAGGCAGCTCCTCACCAATAAACAACATTGCCCTGATCTCCCAGGGGATTCATTTCACTGCCAACTATCTCAGCAGCCCTTCTTATTGTCTTAACTTATTTACCCAAATAGTGGAAAAACAACTCAAGTGGAGCCGGACACTCTCCAACAACATGACTGCAGCTGGTTTCTCCGGTTTTGTTCCCCTACAAGCTAGGAAAGTCTCTTTCCCTGGTGGTTATTAATTGAAAAGGGAGGGGGTAAGTTTCCTCCAATACAAGCAATATCAGAAAGTGCTCTTCATTACTGTTCCTTGAAGATCATGGCAAGACATTTTGCCCCCCAGCTTCCTTAATGCTCCCCACCTCCCAGCTCTGAGTAGACTATCACACCGGCTGGAGACCATATGTTGACGCATCAAGCCAAGCTGTTCTGCATGTGCCAACCACATCTGCCCGCAGGGATTTACCTGGGAGAGGCAAAGAGACAATCTGAGGAATCCCTCTCCTCCCTTCTCCTGCACCCCAAACAGCCAGAGGGTTCTCAAGCAGCAGATGTGCCCGTCCATCCTCCTCGCTGCACATCCACAATTCGCACCCTCACTCTGTGGTTTCTATCTAAGCTGTACCCTTCACCTCCACCTGCAGCCCAAAGACCTTCACATTGCCTCCCCTTTCCCCTAGGAATATCATAAATAAATCACGGGACCACATTTGGCTCTTGGTCTGCAATGCAAGCAGGGACTTGGGGCTGCTTTGAAAGCACATGGCACTGGCAGGGCACAGGATCCTGACTGTGCCCTGCACTAGGATTTAAGCAGCTGAGACTTGTGGAAAGCAAACTGAGGCCTTCCCCACATTCTCTGCCAAATAAGCCGGATTTGGGAAACCCCTTGTTCACATTAACACAGAGCTCCCAGCTGCCTGAGCCACAGCACTGAGGGAACCTGAGCATTCTTGGTCTAGACACAAGACAGCATGGATTATATTTATAATGTTTAATCTTTCATTAATAATAAAAAAACATTATTAATTTTAAAGCTACTAATAATCTTCAGCTGTCCCTCACTTCACTCTGCAAGCCTGAGAGCTATAACAAAAGAGCAAATTCCAGCTCAGAGCATCTTTAATAGAGTCTGCGGTGATCCAGACCCCAGCTCCACAGCTCAGGGCCACAGGCATTTTCTCCAACTAGTGAGGAACCTCAAAGGTCTTCTAATGTAAACAACCATAAAAAGCCAAAAAAATGGCAGAGAAATAACTTTCCATTACCCTTGTTTTGGAAAGAAGGACTTGAACCAACCTCACAGCTCTGCAACACCAAGTTGTCTTCTTGTGTCCCAGCCTGTGCCCATATCATCACCCCAAGAGCCCAGGTTCACACAATGACCTGTGCCACAACAGTCATTAAATGCTGATAATCCATTTTAGCACCAAGGGAAAGTCCGCATTTACAGAAGCGTTCCTTGGTCTCTCCCTCCTTGGGAAAATGCAGCTCTTCATAGTCTCACAACAGATCCTTCAGAAATGAGTTCTCATGGGACAGGATTGTCCCTGTGACCAGATAACACTTATCTCGACTCCCAAAAGCAGCATCTGCTCCCATCAGAGGTGCTCCAGCAGCACCAGGGGAGACCACAAGCAGGGCCATTCCCACCCTGAATCCTCCAGCATCGCAGCAGGACAAGCAGAGTGAGCAGCCACGAATCCCAGCAGAAAAATGAGCATGTCAGAAGGCACTTGTGCAACTACAAAGCATCCTTTGCACACCAGCAGTAAGGTTTTCCTGCTAGCTCTGGCACATCAACATCAGTGGCAAACACCATCTCCTTTGTATTTCACTTGGAGGAACAGGGAGAGTCACAAAGAGCCCCTCCTTGGAAAACAGACTATTTTTGGTACTATAAACCCTTTCCTGTGGAAAAGAGAGGAAGGCCCAAGAGACTGAGGGACCTACGGAAACCCAGAGAGGAATCTGGCAGAGCCTGGAGCATAATTCAGATATCAGGGACCAACAACCAGGACCAAGAGCCACGTTTAAAGACTGTTCCCACCTCAGGACTGAGATCTGCACTTCAGCACGTCAGCCCACCCACCTGCCCACCAACACTGCCCTGAGCCATGTCAATAGGAGATGCTGCAGAGCAAGAAGGCGACAAGGAGCACTTTGGTTGCTCACCCAGATCTTTCCTAAGCACGCAAAGACCTGGCTCCTCATCCGAGTGCCAATTCTCACCCTCTTTCAGCCCAGTTTTTTGCAGCTTTTCTACAAATCCAGAATACATTTGAGTGATCAGCACAATGTTTAGTGAGAAAATCGTATGCTATATTTCCGCTTGGCATGATTTTGAAATGGTTAAGCTGTTAAGCCCTGAAAGGGAAGTTTTAAGAATACAGTGAAAAAAAGAAGCCAAAACCAAAAATAAACCAACAGTGGCAAAATTAGAGCATGACATAAAGGAACCATTTGGATGGGTCCCTTTTTCCAGAGAAACGGTGCATGCTGGCTGCTACTTTCCAATATCAGGATCTCTGCAGTTGTGGAGCACTTGGACTTTCATTACGGCAGCAAGGAAAATAAAAAATTCAAAGTCAAAACTAGCACACAAGAGAGGGAGTAGTTTTCCTAAACTGAGATCAAACCTCTTTACAACCTTCTCTAAACCACAGCCACATTGCTTCCGACGCCCCCTTTGCCCATCTCACTCTCCCCCAGCAAGGGAGATGCTATCAAGGCAGGAAGGTGTTGCCTGACACATGCAAGTGATTGTGTAAAGACAGGCAATGGTCCAGGGTGGGGAGAGGCCATGCCAGGTACCCTAGAAATGTTCTTGTATCTACATTTTCCAGATAAAACCTCCAAAGAAAAGCAAATCCTGCCCCAATCTGTGTCTCACCTTCATGCAACACAATCCCAGTGATGCTGGTCCCGCTAAGCATAGTCAAAGTTCTGCCTAGGGTGTTCAAGGGGACAGAGAGGACTCCCCACCTTCACCCCAACCAACTTGCTTTGCACAATTCAGTGACAGCCGTGCAGCCCCTATGTCACTCAGAGTTCCCTCCTGAATATGCATTGCTTTGCTGCTGTGCACGATAACTTGGTGACTTACTTATGCAGCCAGTTACCGGGTTGAAGGACACAGCTCCAATCACAACCGTTTTACATTGATTTTTGTCATAAAATGTGATGTGATGCTGGATCGAAAGACCTCCCAGAATCCATACATGTGACAGTGTCCCACTACAGTTGTGACACAAAGCATTAAGGTAATGACAGTGCCAGTAGCATTCATACCTGATACTCTGAGGTCCATCCAACCCAGTGCAGCTGAAAGAGACAAGGGCTCTCTTCCTCCCACTCCAGCCTCCCCTGGGTTGCTATGAAGTGTTTGCTATTCAAAGAGTTCTTGCAAGAGAGCTCTCTCTTCTGGGAGGGTTTAGATCAGAGACATCGGGTTAGGTCACCTACAAAGGTAATGGTGGGAAAAACCTCATTCCCCAGCATATTCACGTCTGTGCACACCTCTGCAGAGGTCAAGCACTCTCCTGATAAGGGCATCTCCTGTACATTGACCCAACTTCACCTGGGCACGATAAAGAAGATGAATAAACTGCCAGAGACAGCCTTTTCCTCCATCCCCAAAAACTTCTCCAGCTCAGGTCCTCCCCTGCCTTTCTGAAGTGACAAGAGGATCTTGCATTGGGTCCATGGAGTCACAGGATGAAACCCATGACCTGTATCTCCAAATACCTCTGATGCCCCAGGGAGGCAGGGACGTGAGCAGCCA